TCGTCCTCCATCCCTTGCCTCCCCTGTGAAGGCGCTGGGTAGAGCGCAGGACCGGCTGCTGGGGAAGCAGAAGGGCTTTCTCTCCGGGCAGCCAAGGGGCTGAGCTGCCAGGGGTGGCCTGACTCTCTCCTCAGGGACCTGGAAGGCGAGGCCAGGAGGTCTGAGAAGGAGAGAAGGCGTCTCATCTAGGAAGCTCCTAGCTGTCCAGGGCCTGGAGGGAGGGCCAAGGAGACGAAGTGGGGGACCCGGGCAAATTAAGTCAGAGGTGCTGGGAGAGCCCCCAAAGCCCGGTCCGCGGTGGCCAGGGAGGGCTGGCGCAGGGGGGAGAGGACTCCTGGGCTTCTGGTTGGGTGGACATGAGTCACGGGGCCCAGGGGCAACAGGTGTCAAAATGTCCAGGCCTGCAGCTGAGCTATCATCCCCTGCCGTGCCTGTCGCCCCCCTGGGTAGCAGCCTGTTGAAAGTCACGGAGCCATGGGGAGGCGGGCCAGGGAGCCCGCAGCGGGTCTGCTCCCGCCACCCGCCAGTGCAGGCCAGTTTGGGCCAGGATGGAGCAAAAGCCAGAAGGTCCGAGTCCCCCTCTGTGGAGGTTTTCAACTCAATTAAGCCAATTAAGGTTTGAGAGATGAAGGAGTACAGAAATGGTATGTTCCCTGCCCTTTTGGTGCCTACAGACCGTTCTAGGCAGCCAGCCCAGGCCGGAAAGTCACTTCTGTTCTTGGCCATTTCGGTGATGCCTGCTGTCCTTATTCAGACGGAGGGAGGCCGTTGCCCAGGCTTGCGGAGAACCCAGGGAAACAAGAGTATACGCTGCTTGGTCTCTCCAGCGGCCACCAGTCACTCAAGACAGACCTTGTACCCGGTGGCCTGTGGAGTTAACGAAGAGGAAGTTTAGCAGGACCACCGTCTCTGGCTTAAGGGGCCCCGAGCTGGGGGTCATGGCGTTCCCAAGGCTCCCGGCTCCTCCTGGGCCGCCCAGGCCCCGCTCGCTCACTCCTCCAGGACCCTGTCCCCACCCAGGGCTGACCATGCAGTAGACTTCTTGCCGAATCAATAACCATGTGTCTCTCAGAGCTGATGACCCAACTGCGGGAAAGACCCGCTCACAGGTCATTGTCATGCCAAGCGGAGCGAAATAGAGCCAGTCGCGGGACTCTAGACTCAGCAGCGATCGCTTTCGGCGGGGACCTTCTGGAGAACGGTCCGCCTGAATGGCCGCTCAGATTCCTCAGAGGCCATCGGGGGAGAGGGGACAGAAAGGTGTGGCGGCCGGGCTGCGTGCTGTGGCAGGCCAGCAGTGCTGTGGGCGTGTGTGGACAGACCCACAGCCAGCGCACGACAAGAGCTGGGGGGTGGGGGTCCTTTGAAGGAATGCGGCCTTTCGCTTGACGGGGCAGGGGAGGACTGAAACACGGGCTCGGCCTTCCAGAGGCCAGTGCAGCTTGGAGGCAGAGAGGGTGACAGCACCTGAACTGGGCAATGCGGTGACCAGCCACCCGACTGGAGGGAGGCCTGTGGGGTGCTGGTCGGCACGTGGGGCCTGGCGGGGGCCGAGGGAGAGAGAGCGGGCTGCGGCGCAGGCAGGGTGCCGGGGGTACCGAGGCGTGGAGCGACGGCAAGGCCAGCCACGGGGCTGCGGCGAGGGCAGAAGGCCAGGCCTCGACTCCCTGCCCGGTCCCCTTACTGTGAGTCACCTTGGGCCCAGTTGGCCGCAGTGGCGACAGCACACCAGTTAGGAGCAGCCCAAGGCCCCGGCGTGGCTGTGTCTGGGCCCGGCTGCTGCTTAATGGAGGGCAGGGCCACACCTGGGGACAGGAGCAGGGAGCGGGGGGGGCGGGGGGGCGGGGGGAGATGAAGCCGCCCTTGGGTGAGCCCTGGTTGTCGGGGCGGAGGCCATGCTGTGCTGCCCGCCTGCAGGTGCCCCTGGAAGTGTGAGACCTCCCCTGGGATGAGCTGCTGCCTCCCAGCACAGGCCCAAGAGCCCACCCAACCATGGGCGGTTGACTGGGTCACCCCCTGGAACCCACCAGTGTCATGTGGGCGGGGCTGGGTGCCTTTCAACTGGTCTCCACAGAGAGGGTGTAGAGGCCAAAAGGATAAAAGGAACAAATTGTCCATCTGGCTTCCCTTTTAGAGGGAAGTGCTGGAGAGGCCCTGGTAGCTCGTTGGGTCGACTTTGCAAGGTCTTGGAATGCAGGGGCATCAGAGCCCCGGGTGAGCGCTGGCCACCCCCCTCAGCCAGGGCTGGGAACTCTGCTCAGGGACAAGTGACTCACATATTTGCTGGGTGCCCCCCATCCTACCGGAACTCACAGCGCCCATTGGTCAAAGGCAAAGCGGAGCGTCCGCGGATGAACCCGGCCCCGCCCTCCCCTCCAGCAACCAACAGGCTAGGGGGCTGGGGAGACAGAGCCCGACCCCGCCAGTTTCACCCAGGGTGCTACCTTCCGGGAATGGAGAGACAGGGGCACGGAGCTCAGGGCAGAGAAAGGAGGGGAAGAAAACCGCTGCGGGGGAATGACGGCCCGCGGCGTCTGCAGAGGGCCGGGGAGCTCTGGTGGCTCAAAAGCTGCCGTCACGGCCTCCAGCGCCTCCTGAAACCCTGCAGTCAGAACACCTGGCCGAGCCTCAGTTTCCCGAGCTGACAGATGGCAGAGGATTCCTGCTGTGCCCACCTGGGTGCGCAGGTGCATTCACAGAGCACCCCAGAAGGAGCCTGCCCTGCCCCGACCTCCCGGAAGCCCGGCTTCCTTCAAGTCCCCTGAGCTCTGGTCGTGCCCCCGGGGTCCCTGCCCCCACCCCTCCTGCAAACCCCTCCATCGTCTCCTGGCTTCTGCCCCTACAGTCCATCATCACCCAGCAGCCCTCTGCTCGGTGGTGGCCTCTGCCGCTCGTGGCCCCATGGGATCCGCCTCCTTCCTGGTATCAGAACACTCTTCCCTCCCTGGCCCCCCGGCCCCCAACCGAAACTGCGCCCCCATTGCTCTGAAGCTCTTATCTCCATCTCTCCCACCAGCGGGAACTGCTAGGTACCCGTATCCCGGCCATTCGATCCTGCCCACCCTCTGTCCCCAGCAGAGACGGCCGGCACCGGCGTACAGTAGATGCTCAGTAAGGATTGGTCAGATGGTGAACAGCAGGGACAGGAGGTGGGGAGGTGCATGGGAGCGGAGAGGACGGTGCGTTCGTGTGTCCGCCGTCTTGTCCCCACATCTTCTGGCAGTGAAGGCTGCTCCGTGCAGAAAGTATCTAGAGAGTTAACACTTAGGTGCCCAAACTTTTAAAACCTGGCTCACTTTGGATGGCCATTAGCTGAGGTGCCTCTCTGTCTCCCAGACCTCTCTGGCGGGACTGCCTTAAGTACGTGAGATTTTTCTTGACAGCGTGAGGCCAGTGTCCAGAGGAACTGAGGCCTCCACCATGTTCCGAGACCCCCTGAGGCCTGTGGGCATGGGGGAGTGGACCTGGTTTCCCAGGGACCTTGGTCTCATCCCCTGAGGACTGTGGCACGTCCATGCTCCTGGCGTCCGCTGGCCTCACAGAGGTAAGGGCTCTCCTGAGAGCAGAGGCCACGAGGCTCTGGGTTACTGTGTTTCCATGGGCGGTTCTAGATCAGAAACCTGGATTGGTGGCCGAGTTCTGCTTCCAAGAGGATCCTCTGAGCCAGGAGCTTCCCCAAAGGTGAGGGACCGGGCCCAACTGAGCCTCACCGCCAGGAGGCTTCTTTGCTGGTGTGAAGGCCAAGGCCACGTGCGCTGAGACCGATTCAGTCCAGGGAGCTTAGCGCACGGCCTTGGGGGATGCTACCACTCATACTCAGGCCACAAGCTGGGAATGAGAGGTGGGGAAAGGCCAGCAGGAGGAGCTAGGGGCCCGAGGAGGGGCGGCCCAGCAGGCCCCCGTGGCCCGCGCCACCAGACCCTGTGAAGGCGGCAGGCAGGGCAGCCAGGTGCCGAGGTTCCTCAGGCAGGTGGGTTGGTGGCGGCGGGGTGTGGGGACAGTGCGAAGGACGACAACTTCCTGACACTCTGCTGTTAACCTGGGGAGACCCCAGCTCCTTACTCTGCCATCTGGAGGGCAGAGGGGTGTGGAGGGGAGTGGGTGGCACTGTGCTGTGGGCCAGGGTGACGGAGAAGTCACCAGTGACCTGTGGTTGCTTTCCACTTTCTCCTCCACCCTCCCCTTCCGCTCTCTGCCTCCCTCCCTCCTTCCCCTTCCCTCTCTCCCTCTCCCCTCCTTTTACCCTCCCCACCGCACCCCCCTTCCTCCCTTGCCCCTGACCCCAGGTCCCCTCAAGGCAGCAGAAACACCCTGCACGCTAAGCCTTGACCTAGCGCCCAGCTGGCTCTGTCCATGGCTTGGCCTGCTCCCCGGAACCCTGCACAGCGCCAGGCCTGAAACCTTGAGGCGCAGAGGCCGCGCCAGAAGACCACTGCCCGCAGGGATTTATAGCATGCCGGCTGCACCGGGCGAGTCTTAATCAGGCAAGCGTGGGAGCATGCTGGAGCAGACGAGGAAAGCTCGAGGTTGGGCACAGGCACAGATAACCTAACCGCGCCAGGGCAAGACCAGCCACTATTCAACCCTGACACGTCACCCCTGCTTTGGTGTGGGTTCCCAGATGCACTAGGGGGCAGTGAGAGCCTCGCATCCCAGGTTGGCTACTGCTGGCGGCGGCAGGTCCCCACCAGGAGCCTCTGACGCCGCCTGCTTCCCCACGCAGCGAGCTTACGGTGGCAGGACACGGGGGTGAGCTGGCAGGTGGGCCTGGGAGGGCAGTTCTGCATTCAGTGAGTCGTGGCTCAGACGGAGTGCAGATTTGCAGAGAACATTCCAGGAGAGTGGACCTTGGTTTTGTCTCAACCGAGCCCCGGGCTTCTTCTCACCTCCTTCTCCCCAGGTGTCTGTGTGCGGCCACTTCCCTCTGCCGCCACCTCGCCGCACCTCACCCAGGCGCTGGGACCTTGGAGGACACCCTCCCCTCCCGCGCCACAGGCAGGATGGGGGACGTGGCCAACAGTTCCATCGAGTTCCACCCCAAACCCCAGCAGCAGCGGGAGGCCCCCCACTCAGGGGGCTTTGGGTGCACACTGGCTGAGCTGCGCTCCCTCATGGAGCTCCGAGGGGCCGAGGCGCTGCAGAAAGTCCAGGAAACCTACGGGGATGTGGGCGGGCTCTGCAGGAGGCTGAAGACCTCACCCACGGAGGGTAAGTCTGCCAGCAGAGCCCTGGCACGGGCGGCGTGTGCGCCGGGGGTGCATGGCCCTGCGCCGCCCCTCACTCCTCCCTGCAGACGTTCTCTGGCCCCGGGGGCAGGCCCCGTCAAGGGCTGGGCGGGCTTGCAGCAGCTTCCCAGAGGCACTCCTGACCACGACCATGACCACGATCGGGCCTGTGCGCTCCCATTTCCCCCTGAGTGGGACATGCTCTGTGTGGGGCAACCCGACCCCCTGCACCTGTGCGTCCGTAATCAGCAGTTCCCGCTTGCATCTCTTCTTTGGATTAACTAGAAATGGAACGACAGAGAAGAGGAAGGGAGAAGCCGGCACCGAATCGCACATGCTGGCGGGATGGGCCCCAAACTGAAACCCCAGCAGCTCTTCCAAGAGACGAGCGGGGCAGCCCCTGACCGAGTGCCCCCGGTTCCCCATATGCTCGGCCCTCTGTGCAGTTGAGGGGGGCAGGAAGAGGAGGAAAGGCGTAGGGTTCGGTCCTCTAGGGAGGGGCTTGGGGTGGGGGCCCGGTATAGTGCTGAGTGGAGGTGGCACCAGCGCAGGCCATCCTGAAGAGGTCCAAATCTGAGATCTGCTTCAGGGAGCCTCTAGGGAGCCTGGGGTGTGTCCTCTAGAAGGTTCTAGGGGTGGAGGCCTGATTGCCACCTTGGTCCCCCCCTCTGCCCTGTGGCCCTTTTCCCCTGCTCCAGAGCAGACGTCTGCCCTGCCCTGCACCAGCCTTCCCCAGTCCTGCCCGCTGGGTCTGCTGGGAGGCCAGGACCCCGGGAGCCAGGCTTGGCCCCAGTTTCCAGAGGCCGGAGCATTTCTGGCCCAGCTGCCGCTTCCCCGGCAGGGCTGCTGGTGCCAGGGCTGCTGCCGGCCAGTGCCGGCTGATGGCATCAGCTCCTGTCTCGGCTATCACACCTCTGTCCACCCAGGGCCCTGGCCGCCACCCTTGTCTCCTGCTCTCTGGCTCCGTCTGTGTGCAGGTGACACCTGGGCTGGAACGGGCAGTGGAGATTCCTCCTGCCCCCGCCCCCCCTGCAGAGGAGGTGGGCCTGAGGCTGGGTGAGGGGGCGCCCGCACGGCCAGCTCAGGAGCTCTGAGGGGCCGCCTGGGTCTCTCCTGCTTTGTGCTCTAAAGGGACCCGGCCTGGTGTGGGTGTGTGATCGGGGCAGATGGCTTGGTTCAGGGCCGGAGGAGCTCTCTCCTGCTCTCCTCCTCACCCATCCCCTCCCCCCAGCCCCCGGACTTGGGGCCGGGGTTGGGGGGGAGGCCGGGGTGGAGGGCCATTTAGCCACAAGGGCTCTGGCCTCTCCCAGATAAAAGGAAGCAGATGGGCTTCAGCTGGTAGCTCTTTCCTCTGCCTGTCAGGCCTTGTTAAATATTTAAAATGTCAAGGCCCCTGGGAACGTGCCCGATTCTGCCACAGAGGCTCTGGCGCTCGCCCGGTGCCTGCGGAGGGGCAGGCGTAAAGAAGGGCGGGTGCCCAGGTGGGTGACCCCAACAGAGAGACCCCAGCCTGGCTTGGTCTGCATCCCGAAGAACGAGCGGTTCGAGGACCACCCTCCCGTCTCCGACCCTGGGAGCCCTCAAGGCCCCAGAGTTCTCGCCTGGACGCCCCGCTCCTGCTTCAGACGCAGTGACCTGAGCTGGGGGAGGGGCGACTTAGCTGAGCCCAGGCCCCCCGCACACCCCCTGGTGCTCTGGGGACGGTGAGGAGACCAGGGCATTTTCAGCTATCCAGGAGGATTCCAGAAGCCAGGGAGCCTGGGTCTTAGGCCGAGCTGCGGAGACCTGGGCCCCGGCCCTTCCCCCGCTTGGCCTCCACTGGCACTCGTGGAAAGGAGAGGGCAGATTAGCCGAGAACTGCCCCATGTGGTCCTAATCCAATTCTGATGGCATCTGGCCTCTGCTCTGGGCAGGGTGCCCACCTGAGTCCATGCCAACTGCCGGCCACTGCCCCTGCACCCAGGACCTGGGCCACCTCAGGGGCCCTGCTGGACCAGTGCGTGCTCAGAGCCAGAGGGGCTGCAGCTGCCTTCGGTCACCCCAGCAAGCACTTCGGCAACAGCAGCTCTCCGGACCCCTGAACCCACAGGAAGGCCAGGGCCTCTGGCTGGTCTAGAGCAAGGCATAGAGAAGCACTGCTGCCGCACCAAGGGCAAACCAAGGCCAAGGGACGGGCTGAGGGAAGGAGGGAGGGAGGGAGCTCCTGGGGAAGGGGCCCTGGGGGCCTAGCTTCCTGCGGGGACCAGCCGGGCATAGGGGGCAGGGCAGGCAAGATGCAGATTCCTGAGGCGTGACGAGGACCCATGGGCTCTCCTCTATCATTCTCGGGGCCTCCAGATCAGTGCCCTTTCCCAGGGCGGGGGTAGTGGAGACCCTGAGTGTCTGGGAGATTCAGGGTTCGAGGACCTTCCTAGTAACAACCCCACTTTTCACATCTCCTGTAGGTGAAGGGAGTGGGACATGGGCCCTGAGCTGGGTCCCCAGCCCTTAGGAGCTGAGGTCCTGAGCTTCTCCCAGACCCCCAACTCCACAGCCTCCAGAAACTTGAGCCGTGGCCGGGCCCAGGCACAGTGAGGCAGGGGAAGGGCAGAGACAGCTGTGGCTCCTGCTGGGGGGCGGGGGGCGGACAGTGTGCGGTCATGGCCTAGCTCGGGGGACGTGCCAAGGCAGTGTGTCTGGGGGCTTTTGCTCTTGTCAGTTCTTCCACCCCGAGGGGCCCCCTCCCCCTCCCCTCCCCTCCCCTCCCCTCCCCCCCCCCTCCCCCTCCCCCCCTCCCCCCCGCCTCCTCCCCCCCCCCTCCCCTCCCCAGAAGCCACCTTTCCCTGTCCAGCACACACCCACCCTCCTTCCTTCCAACCCCTTTGCACCACACTCAGCACTTTCTTGTTCTCAACTCATCTGGGACCCGGTCTTGTGTGGCTTTCCAAGCCAGCAGGGGGCACCCCAAGGGCTGGCACCCGGGTCCTTCTGGTTGCCCACCCCCTGCCCCTCCCCTCCCCGCTGGAGGCCTGGGGAGCGGCAGCTACTCAGGTCTGGGAACTGCAAGCCACTGTCTGTCCACGAGGTGTCAGTGTGGGACCAGGCACTTGGGGGCAGAGAAGCCAGAAAGGCTTGGGGGGAGTGGGGGGTGGGGGGCCCGTGGATGGGCCTGGAAGGAAGCAGAGTCCCAAGCGCTGAGGTCGGGGCCAGGGGACTGTGTCATCCCATCTGCCTGCCTCTGGGGAAGATGGCCAAGTGGATGCCTGGCCTTCGGAGGCAATGGCCTGGACACCAGTCCCACATGGAAGCTTTCGGTACCTTCAGGAATGGGCCTGAGGAGACTCATGCTCTACAAGGAGAGACCCAGCGGCCTTGGTGCAGGCCTGGGTGGGAAGTGGGTCGTCCCAAGACTGAGAAGTCAGGGCCCAGCTTCCAAAAGCTGGGGCGGGCCCCTTTGTGGGTGTTGATTCTGAGCCGCTGCGCAAACCGCCCCCCTCCCTCCCTTCCTCCCGGCTCACACAGCTTGTCGGGGCTGCGGAGGGGACTGTAGTTCCTGGAGCTCCGCAGGCACACCAGGAGGATGGTCCCCCGTTCCTTGCGCTCGGGCTCCGAGTTACCGCGACGGTCGCGCACCGGTGCCCTCCAGGCAGCTGGAGAGGCTGCCAGCGCTCCCGCCTACATGCCCCCAGGGTTTGCAGAAGGGCTCCAGGTGCCAGGCCAGTGCAGTGCCCGCTTTCTGGGAGCTATCGGTGTAGAGGGAAAGACAGGCACGGAGAAAGGGGCAGGGGGATGCGGGGCTGGCCTTTCCCATCCTCTCCTTCTGTGCCTCTGCTCCACGTGCCCACACTGCACAGGCCTGGCCGACAACACCAATGACTTGGAGAAGCGCAGGCAGATCTACGGGCAGAACTTCATCCCTCCCAAGCAGCCCAAGACGTTCCTGCAGCTGGTATGGGAGGCCCTGCAGGATGTGACCCTCATCATCCTGGAGGTGGCCGCCATCGTATCCCTGGGCCTCTCATTCTATGCGCCACCTGGAGAGGAGAGCGAAGGTGAGGGGCAGGTCTGGGAAGGGCGGTGAAGGAGGACCTGGTGGACGGGGGCGGGACGCGGGTGGCAGCGCAGAGGTGCTGGCAGGAGGAGGGGAGGGGTAGAGCCTGAGATGACGGAGAGAAGAAAGGTGGCCGAGGGACTTCTCTGCCACCTCTGCCCTTCCCTCCTGTCCTCGGGCACAGCGTGCGGGAATGTGTCGGCTGGGGCAGAAGACGAAGGGGAGGCCGAGGCGGGCTGGATTGAGGGGGCCGCCATCCTGCTGTCTGTCATCTGCGTGGTCTTGGTCACGGCCTTCAACGACTGGAGCAAGGAGAAGCAGTTCCGGGGCCTGCAGAGCCGCATCGAACAGGAGCAGAAGTTCACCGTCATCCGGAACGGGCAGCTCCTGCAGGTCCCGGTGGCTGCGCTGGTGGTAGGGGACATCGCCCAGGTCAAGTATGGTGAGCGCGCCCATCGCCACCCACGCTGCGGAGGGGCTCAGCTCCCACGTCAGGGGCAGGCCTTCTCCGGGGAGCACGTGGGGCGGGAGGCTGCAGGCGGGCAGCTCGGGCAGCAGGCCCGGCAAAGACAGGGCGTGTCAGCGGCCTCAGCGCCCCAGGAGCAGGCTGTCCCCACAGCCTGTCGAGGGCCTCCCCAGCACGGCAGGGCGCTCCTGTGGGCCCCATTCCCTGGAAGACGGATGACAGGGCTAGGAGTGGGTGGGTACCCCCAGAAAGCAGAGCAAAGGAAGAGGGCCGCACACCCGACAGGACCTCCTCTGGGGGAGATGGGAGGCGGCATGGAGGAAGGCCTCCTGGACGCATGGTCTGTGGTTCTGGCCACCTGGCCGGCCTTAGGAGACCTGCTGCCCGCCGATGGCGTGCTCATCCAGGGCAATGACCTCAAGATTGACGAGAGCTCCCTGACGGGCGAGTCGGACCACGTACGCAAGTCGGCAGACAAAGACCCCATGCTGCTGTCAGGTGAGCCCAGCGGGACCAGAGTCCCTGCTCCTGGAATGCCCGGGACAAAACCTGTAGGTGCTGAGCAAGCCTCCCATCCAGCGGTGCAGATCTCTGTCTCAGCCTCTGTGTGTTGCTGTGCCAGGCACTCATGTCATGGAAGGTTCTGGAAGAATGGTGGTGACAGCCGTTGGTGTGAACTCTCAGACAGGCATCATCTTTACCTTGCTTGGGGCTGGTGGAGAGGAGGAGAAGAAGGATAAGAAAGGTAAGGCAACAGTACCCTGCAGTTCCAGTGCCACCAGGCCGCTGGCCCTCATACGTAGCTGTGCTCTCTTCCGCGCCTGCCTGGTGACGGCCCCTTGCTGGCCCAGGCCCTGGCTCTGGCACTGGGGAGAACCAGCCCTCAGGGGGTGGGAGGCCATACCGTCTCCTGGTTCCTTTTGGAGACCCCTCTTCTGGGGTCTTTGCCCCAGAGCCAGCAGGTTGGGGCCCCCCGTTTTGTGTGAGGCAGTTTCCCTCGGATGGCTCTTCCCCTAAGGCTTTGGGGGCGTGGGTGCCAGGGTCGGGGGAGTGCCCTGCCTGGGTAGGAATGGGGTTGGAGGGACAGGGACCAGGCACCCGACTTGGGGGTGTTCAGCCCACATGGTGAGGCACTGAGGGCCCCAGGCCAACGTGGCAGCTAGGGAAACAGGCCATGCAGCCAAAGGTGGAGGGCTCCCAAGCAGAAAGGACTAGACACCCCAAAGGACAGCCAGGGCCAGAGGAAGCTGAGATGGGGCCAGGGCCCTCACCCTAAGGGAGAGCAGTGTCGAGGGACAGATGTCTTCTGACGGCCCAGCTCTGTATTCACCCTGGCCTACCTGGCACACGGCTACCCAGCCGCCTCCTCTTGCCAGCGTCCCGAGCCCCAGGCGTGGCTGGTGCCCCCTCCACTCCTCAGAACAGGGTTTACAAAGCTCTGGAGCTCGGCCAGCATCCTCCCCCGCCCCCATCCCAGTCAGGACCCCGCTCCCTCCCACGACTCAGGCCTGCATCTGCTCGCCTTGCTCTGGCCTGGGTCTCCCCTCAGGCCACTCCTGCCATCAAACCAGGTAAGGAATGCCGTTCTCTAGACGTGCACCCCACCCCTGAGGGAAGCCGCCTGGGCCCACTAGAAGGACAAAGACACGCACGAGTGCGGGGAGACCATGTGCCAGAGCGCGCAGCCAGGGCCCTGGGGACAGGGCGTGCGGGTCGCCAGGCGGGATCGGTCCGCCCAGCCCAGTAACGTGGGGACAAGTCAGCGTAAGGAAAGGCGCACTCGTGTTCCCGGACCTGGGCACGTGAGGGAGGAAAAACGGATGAGCCGCTGTTGCCTAAAAGCCTCCGTGGGCCCCGCCTCCTGGCAGCCTGGGCCTGGCTTCCCTTCCTGGACTCCTCCCTGCTCCTGGCCCACCCGGCCCACCCCTCACAGCCAGTGGGCACCGGCGGACCTTCGGCCACCTTGGCCACACCAGGCCCCCCTCCCCGCGGGGCTCAGCCCGGTGTCTCGCCACAGCCAGCACCCTGGGGCCCACAGGAGGGCAAGTGGGTGGGTAGGCAGGCCCTGGGCCTCCTCTGGGCTGGACTGGAGTCCTTGACGGCTGCTCGGCAGGACGCCTCTTCCACATTCCTTCCCAGGCTCTTCCCCTCCCGCTAGGTTCCCTTAAATGTCACCATCCTTCAGGACTCGGTCCTAGGCCCCTTCTCTTCGACCTTGACAAGACCCCTCCAGGCCCCCCCGCCGCCGGCTCTCCCCCAGCCCCGGTTCCTCTCCCTGGCTTGCTGTGCCACTTGAGAGTCAGAGGGGACACCAGCAGCAGCTGGCTCCCTGGAGGAGGGGAACGTGGGGGGGCCCTGCAGGGGAGGCAGAGATGGCCAGGCTCCGGGGAGGGGGCAGTGGCACCCACGACCCCTCGCCTCCCCCACGTCTCCGCCAAGGCCCTGGCCGCTGCAGAGACCGGAAGGTGGCACCTCGCCCTCAGCATCCCCCCTCAACGCCCCCCGCCACCTCTCGATCTGTCCATCAAGGGCGCTGCTCGCCCGCCTGTCTCCTGCCTTCCGGCCCTGACCTCTTTCCCCACTCCTTCCCCTGCCTCAGCTATGCCCCTTCTCAGGCCAGGCCCAGCCCTCGTCTTCCCATTCCCACCGTGCTCATCTCAAACCTCCCTCCCTCCTCCAGAAGTTGCCACGGCCCCAGGGCAACACGCCCGCACTGTGCTGCACTGTCACCCACCGTGTGTCTACAGGTGTCTCCCCTGCCCCGCCCCAGAAATCTTCTTCACCTATGAATGCCCCACAGGGCCCAACTGACACCCCACTGGGGCTGCGAGGGGACCTCTCCCTCCTCCCTGGGACCCCCAGACCAGACCCCACTGCCTGGGAGCCACCTGGCCTCCGGTCTGTGTCCCTGGGTCCCCAGTGACATGAGCTGTTGGGTCGTGGCTGACAGGCCGGCCCACTAGCCCTTCCTGTCCCAGGCTGGTCGTCTCTGGATCCAGGGCAGTGTGTGTGTGGCCTGCAGAGAGCTCTCCCGGCTGCTGCCCTGGGGCAGGTGAGGCAGGTGGAGCTGGGGGGCGGAGCCTGACCCCCAGCTCAGAGCCCGTCACCTGCCGGCTCTCCTGGGCCCTCCCAGAGTTGCAGTCCTTCCCGGCCCCAGAGGCACAGCCATCACTGTTGACCTTGGCCTGGGGAAGCTGGTCACTGCCCCAGTCCCTAGCACCCAGCTGTGGGCTTCATGGTGGCAGAGCACGTCTGTGAAGGCGCGCCCGCACAGCTCCAAGTGGGGCCCAGCCCGGCCGGTGCCCCTGCCGCCCCCTCCAGCACTGTGGGTGCCCCGAGGCTAGCCGTCTCGCTCCTTTATCCTCTAAAGCGCCCACAGACTTGACTGCTGGCCACGCTGCACAGAAAGCTGATCTCTAGGCCACCAGGACTTAGGAACCATCTAGGTCAACCCCCTCACACTGGTTCTGGGGGGAGCACCCATCCCGACTGGGGGGCCCTGTTTGAGGCAGCAGAGCTGGGACCTGACACCTGGCAGCTCTCATTACCCGTGGTGCCGGCCCTTCCAGAAACCTCCCACTGCCGACCATGCGTGAGCCAGGGTCTGTCCAGGGCTGGCCCGCGGCTTCTCTGGAGGGCTGGAGAGCAGGCCCTCTTCCCCCGCCCGCCGCCCTCACCACACTCACTGGCTGCACTGTCTGTGCCCCGCTGTCCTGTGTGCGCGTGTGTGCCAAGGCCACATGGGTGTTCTCAAGTCTCCGTGTCTGTCGTTCCTCTCCCGTTGTAGGCAAGCAGCAGGATGGGGCGATGGAGAGTAGCCAGACCAAAGGTAACGCGCGCCCTGCGCTCAGGATGGGTGGCAGAGGGTGCGGCGCAGGGTGGGGGGCCGCCCGCCTCGGTTGCAGACCCCGCCGGAAGTGCGCAAATATGGCCCGTGAGCCAGCATCCTGCTGAGGAAACTGAGACTTAATCGGGCCTGTGGGTTTCCTGGTTCGGCTGCCTATCTGCTGAGCCTTCGAGGCCTGCGCCCCTTTCAGCCGGAATGCCTGGTGGGTGCCGATACCCTGTAGCCAGGGTGAAGGGTTGAAGGTGCTGGGAATCCAGAGATGGATAAAGTACGGTCCTGGCCCTCAGGAAGGTCACGATCCACAGACGTGAACCCGGGGCAACACTCAAGTGCAGTGTGGGACCCAGGAACGCAGACAGACGACTGGAGTTCAGAGGCCGGCTGGGGTTGGGATGGCACTTGGGACAGGACAGTCCAATGGCCAGGGCCCCGGGCAGGGGCAGGGAGTGGCAGTCAGTGGGGTAGAGGCTAGAGTGGCCCAGTGGGGTGGGACCTTGAGTGTCGCTGAGGCTGTGGCCCGAGGCCATGGAAAGAAGAGGCCACCGGTGAGCAGTCTCAGGCAGCCAAGGGGAGAAGGGATGGGCGGGGAGACAGAGAAAGAGGGAGCGGCTGACACTGCATGGTGGCAGGAGGCATGCAGAGGCACTGAGAGCCCCACTGGGTGGGGGGACAAGGACGAGTGGCAGGGTTGGGTGCCCCCTGCGGGTGGGGGACGGATGAGATGACATGGGGCGGCGTGTGAGGCGGTGGACGGGCCAGAGGCGGGTGTGGGGCAGGGGACACAGCACCACCACGTTAGGGTCCACCAAGGGGGCTGTGAGAGGGCTGCCGGTTCCGGAGAGGAGGTGGAGAGGCACCTAGGGGAGAGGAGGGAAGGCCCCATGGCGAGAGAAAGGTGCAAGGCTTGCCCGCCAGCAGCCGGGGCATGGGCTGAGGACTGCGCGCGTGCCGAGCTGGGGCCCCGATGGAAGTCCAGGCATCCGCCCGAGGGGTGTCCACCTGAGGGCTGGCAGGAGAGACGGCCTGAGCGGGGAGCGGGGGAGGAGAGCGCGGGGATTCCTGGGCCTCCCTGAGGGGAGTGGGAACATGGCTAAGACAGCAGTGGGCAAGAGTCAGCTCTGGGTTCTGGAACATTCCATGGGCCCCAGGCCTCTGCTTTCAGGTATTGAGATTTGGGGCGTTACAGGACTGGCCACGCTGTCTGTGTGCCCAAGTGCTTGTGTCTGTCCTCCCTTCCCCTGCGAGGCCCCACGAGAAGCATCTCTGTCCTGCCCAGGACAGCGCTGGAGCTGCTGCCCACCTCAGGAGGGCCTGGGCTGATGAGAGAGGAGGGAGAGGACAGAGCCCCCTGTTTCCTCTCGGATGGTGTGGCATATCTTTCTCCGTGAAAGCCCCTTGCAGCCGTCACCCCAGCGGCCAGGCCCTAACCTGGGCTGCGGGTTTCTTCTGTGTGCAGCTAAGAAGCAGGATGGGGCCGTTGCCATGGAGATGCAGCCCCTGAAGAGTGCAGAAGGTGGGGAGACGGAGGAGCGGGAAAAGAAGAAAGCCAACGTGCCCAAGAAGGAGAAGTCGGTCCTTCAGGGAAAGCTCACCAAACTGGCTGTGCAGATCGGGAAAGCAGGTGGGGGCAGCCGAGGGGGCGGCCCAGGGGCCACCGACGGGCAGGGGCGGACACTGGGCTCCCGGACTCGAGGCCGGACCAAGGAGAACAAGTGGGAAAGGGATGTGACGTGGGGTGTGGGCCAGGCAGCAAGGGCACGGGCTGGGAGCAGGTGATGGCCTTCAGGGCCTGGTTCCGCCCCCTCTGGTGAGCGTGGACTGCGAAGCTCCGTAAGGCCAGAGACCAGGAGCGCCTCCCCCGACTCGGGGCCACGGGAATGTGGCTGCAGCGCCCCTTAGCTCTTCCCTCTTGCTGTCTCCCCTCCCTCACCCCTGCCGGCCACCCTTCCCGCCTCCGTGCTCCGTGGCCTCTGATGTGGCTGGGCAGGGCTGGTGATGTCTGCCGTCACCGTCATCATCCTGGCCCTCTACTTCGTGATCGAGACCTTCGTGGTGGATGGCCGGGCGTGGCTGGCAGAGTGCACACCTGTCTACGTGCAGTACTTCGTCAAGTTCTTCATTATCGGTGTCACCGTGCTGGTTGTGGCTGTCCCAGAGGGCCTGCCTCTTGCTGTCACCATCTCCTTAGCTTACTCTGTCAAGGTAATAAAATAAACATGACACGAATAAGAATTCCGCGATCCCGGGGTACAGACCCAGAACTTGTGGTGCAAAGCCGTTAAGCAACTTGGACGAAGCAAGGACTGGATAAAGTTTGGGATTGCTCAGGGGAAGAACGGTAGGCCAAGCAGGGACGTGGAGCTGGACTTGCACATCCTTGCCCACCTGGCTCCCTGGGCGGGGGGGATGACGAGCTAGCATCTGCAGGATGTGGGCAGGGTCGCCGAGGGGCCGGGGAGTTGAGGTGGGGGCAGGGGGAAAGGGGGCCCCTGGGAGACGGTGGGCAGGGCAGAGATCGGGGTGGGCAGGGGAGCCACGGGGACTGCAGGTGACCCAAGAGGGGGCTCTGGGCAGCAGGGAGGCTCCAGCTGCGCTCCAGGGAGAGTGGCCACCCAGAGTCGACCGCTCGGCCTGTCTGACGAGAGTCCTTACGTCTCACAGGCCCGCTGCCTCGGCTTGACCACCACCCCACTGCCATCTGAGCTGTGCACCTGCTGCCCGAGGTCCCGGGCCGTTAGTGCCGCGAGGGAAGCTGGTGGGCGGAGCAGAATCCTACATGCCGCTGTGCTCCCCCACCCCGCGAGGACAGCTGGCTACCCAAGCCTCCATCTGTGCCCTTTACAGAAAATGATGAGGGACAACAACCTGGTCCGCCACCTGGATGCCTGTGAGACCATGGGCAATGCCACGGCCATCTGCTCAGACAAGACAGGCACGCTGACCACCAACCGCATGACCGTGGTGCAGTCCTACCTCGGGGACACCCACTATAAAGAGGTTCCGGCCCCCAGCGCCCTGACCCCCAAGATCCTCGACCTCCTGGTCCACGCCATCTCCATCAACAGTGCCTACACCACCAAAATACTAGTGAGCTGGGAGCCAGGGCGGGCCGAGGCGGGGGTAGGATGAGGGGAGGGAACCTGGCCCGGCTACGGCGTGGGCGTCACCAGGGGCTTGATAAGTTCTCTTAAGGACTCTTGAGCCGAGAGCCACAATCGTTTCTGGGGTGCTGGTCTCCCTCCTCGTCCCCGGACATTGGGCGGGGCCTGCAGGTTCTGGAAGCCCTTCCCAGCCCAGTGAGTCGTGGAAAACCTGCCCATCTAGTCCGTACTGGAGGCCCTCCTTAGCTCCCTGCCACCACACCTGAAAGACGTGGCGGCCGAGGCTGGGCTGGGCCCGGGGACAGTAAGGAGGGTGGCCTTGGGCCTCCAGGGCCATGCTGGTTCTCCTCACCTCGCAGCCTCCAGAGAAGGAAGGCGCCCTCCCACGCCAAGTGGGCAACAAGACGGAGTGCGCTCTGTTGGGCTTCGTCCTGGACCTGAAGCAGGACTTCCAGCCCGTGCGGGAGCAGATTCCTGAAGATAAGCTTTACAAAGTGTACACCTTCAACTCGGTCCGCAAGTCCATGAGCACAGTCATACGCATGCCCGACAGCGGCTTCCGCCTCTTCAGCAAGGGCGCCTCGGAGATCCTGCTGAAAAAGTGAGTGGGCAGCAGGACCCAGCCCGGGGCTGGGGCTAGCTAAAGCGTGTGGCATTTCTGGTTGTATTATTGCGGTAAAGTAGACATAGCATAAAACTGGCCCTTTTCATCACTTTAAAGTGGACAGTGGAGTGGCATTAGGTGCATTCGCACGGCTGTGCGCCATCACCACCACCCAGTCCCAGAGCAAGTTCATCGCCCCGAAGGAAATCCTGTGCCCGTTACACAAGCACCCCTCCCCCTCCCCCCAGCCCCTGGCAGCCACTCATCAGCTTTCTGTCTCTGTGGACGTTTCCTATAAATGGAATCATACGGTACATGTGGCCTTTTGCGCCCGGCTTTTTTCACTCATCCATTCCTTGTTATGGCTCAGGTAGACCACATTCTGCCTACCCAGTCATGCAGCGACAGGCACTTGGGTTGTTTCCACCTTCGGCGACTGTGAATCACGCTGCCTTGAGTGGTCATGTGTGAGTTTCTGCTTGAACGCGTGTTTTCAATCCTCCTGGGTATATTCCTGGGAGTGAAATTGCCAGGTCATATGGTAATTCCATGTTTCGTTTTTTGACAAAACACCAAACTGTTTTCCACAGGGGCTGCCCCACTTTACTTCCCCATTAGCAGTGCACGAGGGTTCCAGCTTCTCATCCTCACCAACGTGTTATTACCTGATTATTGTTGTTGTTGTTGTTGTTGTTGTTATAGCCATCGGGATCTCATGGTGGCTTTCATCTGCATCTTGCTGATGACTAGTGACATTGGCACCTTCTCATGTGCTTATTGGCCATTTGCTTGTCTTCTCTGGAGGAATATCTATTCCAGCCCATGCCCATCTTGGATGTGAATTCTTTGTCATTTGATTGTTGAGCTGTAAGAGTTTCTGTATGTTCTGAGTATTAGATCCTTAACACATTCTGGTTTTGCAGTATTTTCTCCCGTTCTGTGGGCTGCCGTCTTCTCACTCCCTCGATAGATTTTTGCTCACTGCCTTGATTGTCCTTGGATACACAAATGTCTTTCAATTGTGACGTCCAGCTTATCTCTTTTTGTCTTTTGTCGCTTGTGCGGGGTTCCTTTTAGAGGTGGTGAAAACGTTCTCGGGTTGACTGTGGTGATGGTAGCACAACTGTGAATATACTAAAAGCCACTGCATGGGACATTTTAAGCGGGTGAGTCGTGTGCTGTGTGAATTGTATCTCAGCAGAGCTGTTAGGGAAACTGAGGTGGGCGACACACGGCTCTGCCTCCAAGTGCACCATGCCCCGCACCCGCTCAGCGTTCACACCTCCCCTTGGCCTTGGCCTCTGCAGCGCCCACGCACCCTTCTAAGACTTGGCCTGATTGTGCTGCCGTGCTCACCCCCGGCTTTCTGGGGCCTTCGGGACAGAGTCCCGAGCAGGACCTCTGGGCTCCTCCCGTGGCCTCCACAGCCGGCTTCTTTCCTTCCTCACCAGTCTGCTTGGGGCCCCCATTTGTCCGTCTGCCATGCCAGCCTCTGGGGCCCGTGTTTCCTCTGCTCCTTCGTTTTCTGCACCTGAATCCTGCCAGCCTTCCCCATCCCAGCCCTTCTGTGGTCGCTGCCTTGTCGTGGCCCTGCTCCGTGGCATTCGGTTTTTGCTGATGTCCCACCTCTCTCCCTAAAGCGCAACGGGGCAAGAGTGACAGCCCCCCAACTCCCGTCGAGTCTGTGCGGAGCTGTGGGAACAAAGTACCATCATCCTGGGGGCTTCAAACAACAAAGACCTATTTTCTCCCAGTGCTGGAGGCCAGAAGTCCTCAATCAAGGTGTGGGTGGGGTCGCCCTCCCCCTAAGGCCTCCAAGGGAGGATCCTCCCTTGTCCGTCCCAGCTGCCGGTGGTGGCTGGCCACCCTTGGCCTCCCTCGGTTTGTACCTGCATCTCTCCAATCTCTGCCGCCATCGTCACACAGCCTTGTCCCTGTGTCTGTGTCTCGACGTGTCCGCTTCTCTTTTTTTGTTTTGTTTTTTTGCGGTACGCGGGCCTCTCACTGTTGCAGCCTCTCCCGTTGCGGAGCACAGTCTCCGGACGCGCAGGCTCAGCGGCCATGACTCACGGGCCCAGCCGCTCCGCGGCATGTGGGATCTTCCCGGACCGGGGCACGAACCCGCGTCCCCTGCATCGCCAGGCGGACTCTCAACCACTGCGCCACCAGGGAAGCCCCCGCTTCTCTTTTTATAAGGACAGCAGGCATTGGACTAAAGGCCCACGCTCCTCCACTGCGACCTCATTTAACTTTGCGACAACCCTCTTTCCAAATAAGGTCACATTCTGAGGTTCTGGGCAGAACGTGGAGGGGCACACTGTTAGGCCGCGCACAAGCACAGCGCCCCCTTCTGGGAGAAGCCCTCCACTGCATCACATGGAGGGCTCAGCCGGAGGCCTGGCTCCCCCGCCTCACGGCGAGGGCTCCTCTTGTTCTGTCCGCCCCAGGTGCACCAACATCTTAAACAGCAATGGGGAGCTGCGCAGCTTTCGCCCTCGGGACCGGGACGACATGGTGCAGAAGATCATCGAGCCGATGGCCTGCGATGGGCTCCGCACCATCTGCATCGCCTACCGGGACTTCTCCGCTGCCCAGGAGCCCGACTGGGACAACGAGAACGAGGTCGTGGGCGACCTCACCTGCATAGCCGTTGTGGGCATCGAGGACCCCGTGCGGCCCGAGGTAGCCAGAGCCCCTCTGTGAGCTGCCCGCTTGTCGGGACGGGTGGAGGGGCCACGCTTCTTCGCGTCTGGCCTCGGTGGTGAGGCCTTTAGACGTAAATGCAAGGAGGGAACTGCCCCTTTCTCCTGCCCTCCTGGCCGTCACGCCACTCCCTGCCAGACTTTGTAGGCAGAACAAATGGCAGCCCGCCAGAGTTGGACCAACTGGGGAGGGTGGGCGATGGCAGAGCCTCGGGGTCCTCCAGGGGCATGGCCAACACGCCCCAGATCAGACCTTCCCCGGCACACTGGACCCCCACCCTCGTCCTCTTGCCCTTGCACCCTTCAGGAGGCTCGGTCCTGCCGTCTGGAAGGCCCCCTCCTGCTTGGCCTCCGCCAGGTAAGAGAGGGCGGCAGTTAGAACCTCGACGGCTGCCAACGCCCGCAGGACTGATGGACCAGAGGGGCTGGTGAGGGAGACGCAGGAGCCGGGGACAACTCCCAGGGATCTGGTTCCGAGAACTGGGTAGATGGTGTTTGGGGGGCTGGGGGAGGGGAAGGCAGTTCTCAGTCGAGGGTTTGGTTGGGGCCGAGTGAGGTTCGGGACATCCCCATGGAGATGTCACGTGGTTAGGTCCTGGCCAGAGAGACATTCTCCAGAGGCGTCTTTTCATGAGTGATGGTCGTGGGTGCAGCGGAGCACAGGTGGGAGGAGCCTGCGAAGGAGACTCCAAGGAAGGGGCCGGGCGGGGAGGGGAGACTGTGAGGGGCGTGTGGCTGAGCAGGGCAGCCAGCGTGTGGACGCAACTTCACCCAGAGCTCTGCTGAACAGGGAACGGAGCGACAGGGCAGAGGTTGGTCAGGGTGCAGAGAGGAAGAGCAATGGAGGCGGTGCTGGTCCTTCAAGATGCAAGACCCCCGAGGGAGAGAGCCTGCCAGGCTGGCCCTGGAGCGGGGTGCTGGCGGCAGCTGCAGGACACCAGCCCCCAGAGAGAGTGTGCAAGGCACGGGGGGTGCAGGTTGTGAGGCAGGGAACAATCCTCTCTCTCCCAGGGCCTCTCCAGTGGCGCCCACCTCGTGTCAGAAGCACGGGCACCTTGATCCTGCCAATTAGCCTGAAAACATGTGCGTGCACGGGCTGCCCTCAGCTCTCCCTCGGGAGACAGGCATTCACGTACTGGATCAGACACCACAGACCCTCCATTCAGAAGTCAGGGGTCATCAGCGACAGCGCATCCCCGAATTCCAAGGAGATAGGGACCATCGTGTGCAGAGAAGGGGCACCCGGAGTTGGCCCCAGGAGGAAGCGGGTGGTGGCAAAGGCAAGGAGAGAGACTTAGAGCCAAGGAATGGGCCCAGAGAAGGCAGGTGGGGAGAGGAGCTGCCTGGAGAGCAGGGGCACAGGATGCCGCTGAGGGAGGCAGGGCTACCTCCAGGGACACAGGGACTGGGCCTTTCCCTTCACCGGACCAAGGAGAAACTGAGGCGCAGAGGAAGGCTGTGTCCATACGGCGAGCCGAGTCCTAAAGCCATGCGGCCCTTGCATAGACCCGATGGCCTCTCCACCTGAACAGAGACCCCAGGTGGCCGCTCCAGGGTGATGGTTGTCCTCTCCTTACTCCTTGGGACGTGTCGACAGTAGCAGCTCTAGACTTTTCCATCCAGATAACTGGGACTGAATGAAGCTGCCGGAAAGCCAGAGCTCCTGTTGGAATGTCTCACAGACCCAGGAAGGCGACATTCACGGACCCCCAGGGCCCTGGCCAAGGCCATTTCTACAGCATCATAACAAACCCCCCAGCCCTTCCACCTCCACCCTTTGCCCGGATGGAGGGGTGTGAGGTGTGAAGCGGCTGGCAGCCGCACGGCACGGGGAGCCCTTCTTGCCTGACCCCCTGGGCCAAGGAGCCCTGCAAGCTTCCCCTAAGTTCCAGCATAAATATTTGTTGCAAACTGAAGCTCTAGTCATCGATGTAAGGTTGGAGGCCTGAGACGTATTTGTAGATCTCTGAGGCAGAGCTGCAGAGGCCCTCTTCTGGCCCACGGCAGCTCATTTACAGAAGCGCCAATGAGGCTAGGCTGGGGGCCGGATGGAACAGTCCAGAAGGGCTGCACACAGGCGGGGTGAGGCCCAGCCCTTCCCCCGGTCCGTGCTCTTCTCAGAGAGGGATATTATTGTTTTTATACGTTTTCATCTCAGAGAAAACATGGATAAAAGTTCCCTGAAGGTCACCCTGAAGGCTCAGCCTCAGTGGCTGTCCCGGCGGCTAGAAGCACAGGGTGAGAGAGCCGCCAAGGCCAGGCAATGGGCAGCTCGTTTAAGATCCAGAAACGGCCTTGGCAAAAGGGCCCAGGGGGCAGGACTGCTCCTCTCTGGCTGGAGAGTGGCTGAGTGAGAGGCTGGGCAGCAGGTGGGGAAGCCAGGCAGAAGCCCACGGGGACCAGCCATCCGCGCAGTGGCCAAGGAGGGGAGCCCCAGGTGCTGACGGCAGGCGGGAAGGCCGATAGGGTGCTGTTCAACTTGCCGGGATGCCTGGGGGCCTGGGACGGCTACAGCCTGTGGAGGGCCTGGCAGGGGGGTGTCTCTGCCCTGGGGAGCCGCATGGACCCTGTAGGCAGGCTGTACTTACGCCAGAGGGCCTGGGGGCTCCTGCAGACACCTGGCTGCCTGCTGTGCTGTCGGGCCTCAGCCAGTGGGAGGCAGGCGAGGAAGGACAGTCACCCGATGAGGGAGAGGGCGCCTGCAGACGGAGGGAGCTTCCTGCCACCTGGCTTGGAGGCCAAGGGCCTTTCAGACCAGAGACGAGCCGGGCCTGGGCTGAGCCCACACAGAGGAGGCCAGCAGAGGCTGGACCTGGGGCTCCCAGGGCTCAGGCCCATCACGGCCACTTGGTGGCAGCAGAGGGGCTGCTCCTCCCAGACGCATCAGAGGTGGTGGGGGGAGCTTGCTGGAAAGGGAGGTATCTCCCGGCAGCTCATCCTCTAGCGCTCAAGGATCCCCAAAGAACAGAAAGCGTCCTTGAGCTGAGCGAGGAGACGCGTTACCGGGGGTGTGGGACGCAAGCCCCCTTCCCGGGGCGGGGCCTTCTAGGCCGCCTGGCCATATTTGCTGCAGGGATTGTAAGGTCACTCTGTCCCAGCCCAGAAGTGGGAGCCCCTCTGGCTGGGCCCCGGGTCCCCCTCCTCTTCCCACTCTCTCCCTGGCTGAGATCACAGCCTCCACACCCTGGCTTGGGGGCCACCAGCGTGCCCGGACCTCCCGGGCCAGTGGTCCCCTGCAGCCGACCGGGCCCCGCCTGCTGCCCACCTCCCCTGGGGTCTCCCAGCTGCCCTGACCCCCTGGCACCTGGCCCCAGCTCCCCCGGCCTGGCCACCAGGCCACCCCCGGGACACCGCGTGCTCCCGTGCTCTCTGTCATGCTTACACGGTTCCGGGGGCTCAGCCCGGCCCCACCGGGAGCCCACAGTGGGGTGCGCCGGGCCCAGCGGACTCATCTCCTTGCCCCGCCGCATCTCCTTGCCCTCCTCTCCCCTCCTGGCCCCTCAGGCGCGGTCGGCACGACTCTCCTCTGCGCTGCTGTCTCGGGCTCACAAGTCCCCTCCTCGCTGGAACGGGAGTGTCTCCACTCCACAATGCCACCCCCTCCCAGCTGGCCTCCGCTCCCTTCAGCACTGGAGGGATGTCTTGTTCTTCTCCCTTTTCCGGAATCTAATCTTATGTTTGGAAAATGGAGAGGTACTAAGGAACCAGAGTGATGTCCCATTTCCTCTAATGAGCAGTGAGAATGCCTTGTCATGTCAAGCCTACGGCTCTAAATGTCTTAGGTTTTATATCATTTTAAAAAAAAAAGTGGCAGGGAAACAGATGTTAGTGAGCTTGGCCAACAAGGCCAGAGCCTGCCTTGAGTCAGGGCCCGAGAGGGTACAACCCGAGGTGGGTCCTGCCAGCTGGCGGGGCAGCTGGGGCCAGAGGTTCCTTTCTTGTCCTTCCGGAGCTCACTGGCATGGCCCCTGCCAGCTGGCCTGCTAATGGGACTGGTCCTGGCTCGGCTGCTCTGGGTCTCCATTTCCCCAGTGGAAACTGAGGTTGAAAGAGCTGGGTGATTTCTCCGGTCACCTTGCTGCACACAGCTCCGACGGTGCCCCTTGACAGCATTCCAGTGGCTTCTCCCAGCCTTGCTCGTGGTGTCAGGGCCTGGTTCTGAGTCGTCGGTGGTCCCCGGGGCCAGCACAGGGAAGGAGGCACCTGGGCTTGGGGGCACCCTGCTCCCTGCGGGCCAGGCTCCCAGCCGGGGCAGAGCTGACAGGCCGTCTCTCCCGCCTCCTCCAGATCTGGATGGAGGAACGGCTCTGGGCTCCAGCCATCTTGTCCCTTCCAGGTCCCTGAAGCTATCCGCAAATGCCAGCGCGCTGGCATTACAGTCCGCATGGTGACGGGGGACAACATCAACACGGCCCGTGCCATTGCGGCCAAGTGCGGCATCATTCAGCCCGGGGAGGACTTCCTGTGCCTGGAGGGGAAGGAGTTCAACCGGCGGATCCGAAACGAGAAAGGCGAGGTAGTTCCCGGCCGCCAGCCCTCCCTCGAGTCCACGGTTCTGGCACTTTCTCCACCGCCGCCCCCTCTGTTCAGCCCTGACTGCCCACCCTGCCACCGAGGCTCTGCAGCGTCTGTGCTTTTCCCTCCCAGATAGAACAGGAGCGTCTGGACAAGGTGTGGCCCAAGCTGAGGGTCCTTGCCCGATCGTCTCCCACCGACAAGCACACTCTGGTTAAAGGTAATGGAGTGGGCTCACTCCTCACCCTGCCCTGCCCCTGCCCCGGGGGGCGGGACGCAGGCGGGGTATGGCCGTCACCCCTCGGGTCGTCGTCTGCTCCCAGACGCCCAAAGCTGAGCTTCCAGTTGGGTCTCAGGGTACTCAGCTCTGGACCCATTGCTGCTGGAGACTGTGTCTCAGAGGAAGTCACTGGCCCTCCCTGAACCTCATCGGGAAAATGGGGATAATAATGGAGACTCCCTCAAAGGGCTGACCTGCCAGGGCTCGAGCCTCCACTTCTCTGCGCTCACAGTATCAATGGAAGACGCCAGTAGAGACCAGCTCTCTTCATAGCAGATGGGGAAACTGGGGCCCAGGAGAGGGAGACATTTCTCCAAGTTGCCCAGTGCCGAGCCCCTGCCTTCTACGAAATCCCACCACCCTGTATCATCGCACTGGGTGATGGGCCAGGGTGGGAGAAGGGGGATGCGACTGCCAGTGAAGGCACAGGACTTGGTCCCAAAGATGGTGGACAGCACGGAGGACTGGAGCCTACTGCCCCCCCCCCCGCCCCCGGGCTGGTCACCCGGGGCCACAGGTGGCACCAGACCTGCCCTGATCTGTGTTCCAGGGATCATCGACAGCAACACCGGCGAGCAGCGGCAGGTGGTGGCCGTGACTGGGGACGGCACCAACGATGGGCCAGCCCTCAAGAAGGCGGACGTGGGCTTCGCCATGGTAAGCCACCCGCTGTCAGCCTGGCTCACCACGCCAGGTGGGGCCTTGTGATGGAGGACGTAAGCTTTGTGCAGCAGTGTGGGGGCTAGCGTTGAGGCAAGTTGCAGAGTGCCAGAAGTTTCTTTCTCTCACATCTTGGCCACCTGGGCCTCTGCAAGCTCTGCCTTGTTGGTGGCGGCTGCAGCGGTGGCGCCCTCTTTGTTTGTGAGCAAAACCTCTCTAGTACAAGGACACGTTTGGAGTGGGTGAGGGGGGCTGGGGAAGGGGCCCCGTGGACACGGTGTGTGTGTCCCCCAGGGCATCGCGGGGACTGACGTGGCAAAGGAAGCCTCGGACATCATCCTGACGGACGACAACTTCACCAGCATCGTCAAGGCCGTCATGTGGGGCCGCAATGTCTACGACAGCATCTCCAAGTTCCTGCAGTTCCAGCTGACGGTCAATGTGGTGGCCGTGATTGTGGCTTTCACGGGTGCCTGCATCACTCAGGTGGGCACTGGGGGCCACCGGGGCCCAGGGAAGGCCCCAGGCTCTCCCTCCCACGGCCGGGCTCCTCCCGCCCGGTGCACCTGGACCCCAGTGTGCAGAGCAAGCCCAGGGGACCCCGCCCCCAGCAGGGTGAGGGCTGAAGAGCCCCTACCTGAGGACCCAGTGGCGGGAGCCAGGTTTTTTTTGTTGCAGACTTTTTTGGTTGAGATAGAATTCACCCATCAAAAACTTCACCGTTTGAGAGTATACAATTCAGTGACTTTTAAGTACATTCACAGTGTTGTACCATCATCACCTCTATGTAGTTCCGTCATGTTTTCATCACCCCAAAAGGAAGCGCCACTCCCCCTCCACCAGCCCCCGGCACCCGCTCATCTGCTTTCTGTCTCTACAGACTTACCTATTCTGGACATTTCAGCTACACGGAACCAAATCATAGGTGGTTGTTTGTGTCTGGCTCCTTCACTTAGCACAATGTTCTCGAGGTCCATCCATGTTGTAGCAGGTACTTTATTCCTCTTGATGGTGGACTGATGTTCCATTGTGTGGAGCAAGCACCTTGTGTTTCTGCATCCCTCCATCAATGGGCATTTGGGTTGTTTCCACCTGTGGCCGCTGTGGACATGTGTGTGCAAGTCTTGGTAGACCTGCATTTGCGCTTGTCCTAGGTCTGCTGGGAACTCCGTGGTTAACCTTTGCAGGAGCCTCTTTTCCTTTTTCAGTTCTCCAATTCTCCCCATTAGTGAGTGTCCAGAATTTGTCTCCCTTTCAAAGGTATTTTTGAATTGAGATAAAATCCGCATGACATAGACTGTACCGTAATAGCCATTTGAACCAAAGTGTGCCATCCTGTGGTTTTTGATGCATTGCCCATCTTGTGCAACCGTCACCTATACCTCAGTCCAGAACCTTTTCATCACCCCTGTACCCACCAGGCAGCCACTCCCCACTCTCCTCTCCCCCAGCCCTGGCATCCACCCATTTGCTTTCTGTTTCCATGGGTCTGTCAGTTCCAGAAGTTTCATAGGCATGGAATCCTGCAGGATATGGTCCCTGGTGTCTGTCTTCTGTGAGGCTCATTTTTAACCAACAAGTCAGAGGCGATGGGAAGGAAGGTCCAGTGCAGTTTCTACCTCTTCCTGGCCCTTGGGTGCAGGAATGCATCTGTCGGGCTCTTTTATGGTCTGGGCCAAGTGACAGGGCGTGGCAGCCTCCTGCTAACAGTTTGGACCACACCTTCTAGATCACTGCCAGCAGGTGAGAGAAGAAGGGAGACTGACAACATTTTAAGAGCAGGAATCTGAAAGCCCAGCGAAAACTCTCTGCTAACTTTAAGAAAACATAGGGATGGAGATGTCGCGTTTTTATGGGAAGGTTGGATTTGTTGCATTTTCACTTGAATTCAATTCCAGTGACATTGACCCCAAGCTGCGTCTCCTGCCAGGAGTGGGGGGCCGGTGGGGTTTCCAGGCCCATGTTGGGGTAACTGGCTCCTCTCCACAGGACTCTCCTCTCAAAGCCGTGCAGATGTTGTGGGTGAACTTGATCATGGACACATTCGCCTCTCTGGCCCTGGCAACAGAGCCGCCCACTGAGTCGCTGCTGCTGCGGAAGCCGTATGGCCGGGACAAGCCCCTGATCTCACGGACCATGATGAAGAACATTCTGGGCCACGCCGCCTACCAGCTCACTACCATCTTCACGCTGCTGTTCGTCGGTAGGTTGGCCCAGGGCACCCTGTGCTGTGGCCAGCCCCGCAGGCCCCGGCGCTGTCCGGCAGTGGCAGGGACAGACGGGCACCTGGGGACCCGATTTCCGGTGAGGACCCCTCGGCCCTCACCTCCCTGCCATCCTGGGAGTTTTGTTCTCTGTACGGCATCGGCTCCTTTTAGGAGATTCCTTTATTTACGTGGGGGCGGGTTTGTCGCTTTGTCTATGTGTGGCCTCTCTTCCTGACGTCAGAGGGCCTCCACGGGTCTGATGAGCCTTGACCACGTGGTGGCTTGGCTCTCAGCACATGTTCCTGGGAGTAGACTCAAAGTTCAGTGCAGGCATGGCGGTGGCCAAGGGGCAAGAGTCACCACGTGAGGGCGCCCAAACGGCAGCACCTGGGGTCCTCTCATGGGGCCTTTCTCTGCTATCTCGGGAGCAGAAGCTGGTCATGGCTGACCCGAGAGCCGTTCCTTCCCCAGCTCGAGCCAGTGTGCAAACGGGTCTTAATGTCTTCACCCCTGTCCTGGGGTTTCAGTGCCAGACCCCCCTGGTCTGGACCCGGCCTTGGCTGTGATCTCCCGTTGCTTAGCCTGGGGGCTGGGGGGCTCATGACTTCCAGCCGTGTCGCCCGGTGGTGACGCGCCCACCTGGACCCGGCTCCCCTCACGCGGCCCTGGGCTTGCAGGCGAGCTCTTCTTCGACATTGACAGCGGGAGGAACGCGCCCCTGCACTCGCCGCCCTCCGAGCACTACACCATCATCTTCAACACCTTCGTCATGATGCAGCTCTTCAACGAGATCAACGCGCGGAAGATCCATGGCGAGCGCAACGTCTTCCACGGCATCTTCGGCAACCCCATCTTCTGCACCATCGTGCTGGGCACCTTCGCCATCCAGGTAGGAGCGACGGCTCCACTCTTGCAGGTCCCTCCAGGTCTGCCACTCCCATTTCTAGAACTCCATTCCTTGGCGGGAGGCCACCTTAACTCCAGGAGGCGCTGAGTGTTCAAAACCAGGGCGTATTGATAGAAAATGTGAGGTAGAGCGAGGCCAACAGGCCAGGATAGCTGGTTTCTCGCAGTTCTCAGAGGGGGGGCCAGCCATGGCACAGGGACCACCTGGGGAAGCACCCGGGCTGGTCGGCAGGCAGGAGAGCGGGAAACCCAGAGCAGGAGCTGAGGCAGGAGGGGCAGGCTGAGCACTTGATGGTGTGAATAATTCCCGGGCTCTGGGGTGTAGGGCTGTCCACCTTGTGGTCTGGGACCCAGCCCTGGGTGGTTAGGGAGGGGGACAGTGGCCTGGACGGTGAGAGCCCAGGAACAGAGAGAGTTGGAGTGTGGCCTTGGGACCAGTTGGTCTGTAGTTGAAAAGCTCACCCCTGGAAGAGGACTCCTCCCACGGAGGGGCCATGAGGCTGCGGGAGGAACATGGCTAACATGACCGAGCCTCGCCCGAAGGCTGGAAAAGGGACAGTCCGGGGCGCCTGGCTCAGTGGGCACCTTGCAGCAAGCGAGGCCACGTGCCCGTCCGGCACAGCACCCACGGCCTGTGGTCAGCCGGTCTAGGAAGCTTCTCTAGGCACTGGCTGAGGTGGGGACGAAGGGAAGGAGGCCAGAGAAAAGAAGGCTCCCGGGAACTGCCTGTCTACCTGGGTGAAGCAACAAGCCTTCTGACTCCCTGAGCTCGGCCCACAGGACAGGGGGAGCCCCGAGGGCTAGAGGAGCTGGCCGGACGCGCCTCCCGCCCACCCCTCTTCCACAGATTGTCATCGTGCAGTTCGGCGGAAAGCCCTTCAGCTGCTCCCCGCTGTCTACGGAACAGTGGCTCTGGTGCCTGTTTGTTGGTGTTGGGGAGCTGGTCTGGGGACAGGTAAGTGTCTGCCTCGGTGGCTTTCCCAGCCCTGCCCCTTTCCAATTTGTCTGGGGAACTGTGGGCAGCCCAGGGTCCCCTAGCCTGCCTCTGGGACAGGCCATGACCTAGGTGCAGGGCCACCAGTGACAGCCTCAGCAGAGAGCATGCAAAGGGCCATGGCTGGGATGTCACAGCGCCCAGCAAAACCACCCGCCGCTCCCCTTGCCACGGTAGGAGCTGAAAATCGTGCCTTAGAGTTGGGTGGCTTGGAAAATGCTCACATATTTGAAGCTACACAATACCTCTGTGAACCTTCCAGACAAGGTGGCTTCAACGGCAGGTGTTATTCTCTGGAGGCTAGATGTCCAAGATCATGCTTACATAGGGCAGGCCCAGGAGAGGCCGGGCACGAGCTCCCAGCTCCCCCGCCAGGGGAGTCGCGTGGCAGTGCAGTTTCTCCCAGCAGTAATGTGTGATGACACGCACGGGTACCACCATCGGGGCAGCTCCCCTGAGTGGTGCGGTCCGGGGACTTGAGTGGCGTCGGTCCTGGAGGCCTGGGGAGCCCGTGTGACTTAGTTACTCAATCTCCGCGCCCCGGAGGTCAAGCTGGTACATGCGACCCAGGGACCCGCCCCAAATCACCGCGGCAGTGTAGCCCGCCTGCCCTCGGCCCCAGCTAAACCATGAGCCAGGCCAGGGCCAGACCTTGGTCTGGCGAAGCGAGTCCCTTACGTCACACACTGTGCGGGAAGGTGGCGTGAGCCGCTCCTCTGGGCGTCGACGGAGGAGGGTCCACCGGCACGCACACTGCTTTGGAGAGCAGGATTCGGCAGCAGGCAGAGGCGGCCCAGGGGCCGCCCGCAGGGAGCAAGCACTGAGGAGAGAGCTGCACACGGTGCCGGGGACTGTGCAGGGGCGGGCGCACACACGGCCTGGGCCTGCATCAGCGGAAGGCGGGCAGCCTGCATCCGCTCCCGGCCCCAGCAGAGCTCCCACCTCTGACGGCCACTTCTGCCTGCTGTCCCTCACCTCTGGCGACCCAGGTCATCGCCACCATCCCCACCAGCCAGCTCAAGTGCCTGAAGGAAGCGGGGCATGGGCCCGGGAAGGACGAGATGACCGACGAGGAGCTGGCTGAGGGCGAGGAAGAGATCGACCACGCCGAGCGGGAGCTGCGCAGAGGCCAGATCCTCTGGTTCCGGGGCCTCAACCGGATCCAGACGCAGGTAAGCCGCCGGGCTGCTCGGCCGCTCTGGCTCTCCCGCCTCGCGAGGGGGGCAACAAGCCAGAGGCGGAGAATGGGCGAGATGAGCCTGAGAGGACAGGGAAGCCCTTGGGGCTTGCCGCCACGACCACAAGGGCAGTTGCCGGATGTGCCGGATGACAGTACGTCTCCAAGATGGCCTCTCCCTGACGCCTCGCTCAGAGCCCAGGTGGCCCTCCCCGCTAGTGGGCACAGGTGTCAGCTAACGGCGTGTGCTGTGACCCAGAGCTGTATCTCAGGGAGATGGGGGCACGGGCCACCCACTGTTTGAGTAGCTGCTGGGACTCGTTTTCTTTGCTGGGAGCTGCCCCAGGTCATGGGGCAGGGGCCTTCTCGGGATGAGGCAGATGCCCGTTTCCAATAGCCTTTGGTGAGCTCACCATTCATTGGGTTATACTGTGAATTCTGTGGAAAGGCTTCATTTGGGAAGTGAACTCTGGTAACCAAGTTGGTCCGTTCTGTGCATCCCAATCTCCTCTATAAACTCAGACAGCCAGGACGACTGCCCAGCTGTGGGCGCTTGCAAAGGCTTCCTGAGAGTCTGCCTGACAGAGCCACCCTCGCTTCCTGCCCCCAGCTCTTCCTGGCCAGCCTTCTTGCCAGAATGTTCCATACTTGCTGTCTCTCTCATCATAGCCTGACATCAGCCCTCAGCACCCCAGAGGCGGTTCTCACCAAGGTCTGTGAGACACCCTTCTGGCTCCCGAGCTGGGCTGTCCCTCCATCCCTCCCGCTTGCGGACTGTTTCCCAGCGCCCTTCCGGAAGTGCGGTCCGCCCTGCTCTCCTGGCAGCTTGCTGGCCCCTCTCCATCTTCCTTGCCTGTCACTCCCACCTCCCACTGAGACCGTGGTCTGCCCTGTCGCCTGGCTGTGACCCTAGCTGCTGGAAGTCCCACGGTCCCCGGGGCACTGGTCTCTTCTTGCCAGTTCCCCGTGGCCTGGCCCTCCCCGCACAGCCTCCAGATGGCGACCAGGCGCCCCTCATGCACCACCTTCTCCTCTGCCTCACGGCACCCACCCTGGGCTCAGGTCAGCCCAGACTCAGGCCCCACCTCCCCAAGCCCACCTCCTCCCGCCCCCCAGCTCCTGATCCATGGCTCCCTCACTTCTACTGCCCAAGCCAGAGCCCTGGAGCTGTCCCAGACCCTCTTCCTGTCTCCCCACACACGTGGCACATTGGCATGGCCCTTCGAACGCGCATGCCCGGTCCAGCCACCTCCGGCCCCGCCCCCAACATCCTCCTGGCTCAGCCGCCCACGTCTCTGCCTGGACTGAGGCTCCCAGGGTGCACCCTGGACCCCTGCAGCCTATTTGCAACATAGCCAGCGTGTGACACCCCATCACTCCCTGCTCCTCCCGGGCCGTTCTCCGTGCTCTGTCCTGGACCCACAGCCCCACTGCCCCGACCCAGCTCCAATTGCTCTTGCCCCGGAGACCCACCGGCAGGAAGAACACCACCGGGCGCCTGCTTGGGTGGCTTCCCGCGTGGCCGCTTGGCCTGGGCCAGGACCTGAGGGCACAGCTCTCCCCAGCGCCCGCCTCCAGCCTGTCACAAGTCACCATGGGCTCATCCCAAAGAATCCTCCATGCCAGGTGCCCAAAGCGCCCTCCCAGTGCACGCGGCTCACCAGCTGCTGCCACACAACCCCTGGGGGCCTAGTCTCTGGGCGCCCCTCTCCTCCCCAGGCGCCAGCCTCAGCTCCCCGGCCAGAAGCTTTCAGCCTCCCGTCTGCCTCTCGGCATCACCCCACGTGCCCTGCGTCCCCGGAACTCCTGCTGCCTTCCCAGACTCCCACTCTGCTTGCCGCGTTGCTGTGCCTCCATGCTGGCCACTGTCTGGGCCCCAGGCCTCCGCAGCCCCCACCGTGTCCCCTGGGGCCCCTCCTCATCCCACGGCGGCCCCGTGAAGCCTTCTCAGAGTCCCAAGGGGCTGCTCCGGGCCTCTGGCTCAGCCCTCCCGGCATCGCAGGCGCCTTGGCCAGCGTGGCGGGGGAAGGATGTCTTGGGCCCGGCCAGAACACTGAGCGCCCAGTAGAATGGGAGGAGCCTTTGTCACCAGCTGTCTAGGTTTTCCCCGTGGCCTCCTGGCTGCTCAACTGTGAGCACCCACCCACCCATCCCGCCCCGACGGGCTCCGGTGTGTCATGCTGGGCGGGTTCTGCAGCAGAGCCTATTTGCTTCCTTCGCTGAGCCAAAGTCAGTGTTAGCTCTTCTAGCAGCCAAGACCACAGCCCTGCCCCAATCCTAGGTGTCCGGGAAGAGGTCTCTGGTGCCCCGGTCACCTGTGCGTCTGTGTCTTCTTACTGCCTGCAGGCTCTTGGACCTGACACTGCCACCCCGTTGGTAGAGTGGGTCCCCTCAGTCAGAGCCTTGCAGTTCCGGGCTGGTCGGGTCCCTGCTTTCCACACGGGGAAATGCGGCCCAGAGAGAAGGGACTTGCCCAAGGTCACCCAAGTCTCCTTCCCCCATCCCTTAGCCCTGGCCTCTCCACGGAGCCACTCATTCCTCCCCTTGACTCCACCACACTTCTCAGGAATGCCGAACCAACCAGTCGCTTTAGTTCACTTTTTAAGAGCGCTTGTTCATTTTGATTCAAAATACCTGCTTGCAAAGCAGAAATAAAGCCCCTCAAGTTGCATACGCCCCATGCCAAGAGAAACGTTCTCTAGGCAGCCAGCCCTAGATTTCCAACCTTTGCAAGGCACAAAATTGCTCCCCAGACTTCAGAGACCAGCACAAGTTTTTATGTTGCTAAGTGAAGGCATTTCCTAAGCTGCTGCCCGCTCTCACCATCATTCCAGGCACATAGAAACGCACCAGCCAGGAAGGGTGTCATTCCAGAATAAAAGAGTCCTCCAAATGCAGGACGTGGAGCTTTTCAAAGTGCTCACGACGTGGTCTATTTCGCATTCCATTCTAAACCAGAGAAGCTTCAGCAGTGACTGGGCCTCGTTCCTGGCCCAGTGTGGGGGGCTTCCGGGTAGGCGTGGGGCGGAGGGATAATTCTGTGGTATTTTGACTGATACCATCATCGCCTCGGGACACCATGCGGAGAGGCCCAATCAGAGGCAGGAAAGGCATTTTTCCCTTCCCTTGTCGCCTTTGCCACAGTAAGAGTCCCCTCTTGAGACAGTCCCCTGTCTCCGTAGCCTTAGAAACATCTCAATCTAGGGAGGAGATGCCCCCCGCCCCGCAAAGAGACAGCGACATCGGCATGGGTCATCTTCCTTCAGTGTGCTGGGGCACTCGGCACTGCGCCAGTCCCCGTGGGCACTCAGTATGCCTTACTTCTGCTGGGCAGAAGGAGGCTCAGTGGTGCGTACACAACAATTAGTCTGTCTGGCAGCGCGTCCAAGGGTTGAAATGCCGGCCGTCTTCACTTTGGTTGGGATGGGGGCCGTCTGAGCACTCCGCTGCTCACGTCATCCAGTGAACTATGTGGCACTTTCTAGAAATCAGATCCACCTTCTAAGGCCAGAGATTCCACACACACTCCCCACTAAGAGGGGACATTCTCTAAGAAGCGGCCCGAAGTACGCCACAGCGGGCTGGCCTCCCAGAATCTAGACACACGGTCTTCTGATGGGGGGACGTTCACAGTGGCCACCCAGCTACGGTTCCTTGGGACCCCACGCCTGGGCTTGCTCCACCCCCAGGCCCCCCTGCCAGCCAAAGGCGGGTCGGGAAACCCAAAGATACTGCATCTCTGGCAAGTTCACCCCCATGGCTCTCATTTCCTGAAGCCGCCTAGGAGGCTTTAAGGGTGGGGGACAAAGTAAAGCCATCTTTGCTCCCCAGACCCAGGCTCTCCACTCTCCCTCCTGCCCTGCCTGTGGGAAGGCATTCCGATGAGAGAAAGCAGGGGCTTTGGGGAAACCCCCTCCCCCTCTTTTAAAATCCATTCTTACACTGAGACTTCCCAGGGAGTACCCCTCAGTCACTTATGGCAATATAAACACAGGACGGGCCAGGGAAGGGTACTTACTGATGAGTGGCTTGCGATGAACATATCGTGAATGCAAATGGCTCTGTCTAAAGTGTTTGCGGTGCACCCGATCCAGCGTCAACCCCCGCGCGCCGGGTCTTCTGAGCGCTAATCATTTGCTCAGCAAAGCCTCTCGTGGTGGATGACGCAGAGGCCAGACTCGGCCTCGGCCTCGGCCCCAGCAGAAGCACCGAGGCGGCCTCAATGAGGCTTTGCTGTCACGATATGCACCCAGTGTGGCCCCTGTCCCCGCCCAGCCCCACCCCCGTGCGGTCGCGGGGACTACAGTGCAAGCCAACCTTTATCTCATTTTCTCTCCCACAGATGGAGGTAGTGAGTACCTTCAAGAGAAGCGGTTCATTTCAGGGTGCTGTGCGCCGGCGGTCCTCGGTCCTCAGCCAGCTCCATGACGTAACCAATCTTTCTACCCCTACTCACGTAATTCTCTCTGCTGCCAATCCCACCAGTGCCGCTGGGAGTGAGTCTTGAGTCCCCTTTTCTCTCATAAATGGCATCTCTGGGGGAGGAAAAAGCCTCCCGCCTCTTCCTTCTCTTTTTTTCCAGTCTTACATCCTCCGCTCACCGAGGCTTTTCCGTTCTTTCTTTATCGCCCTGTTCAGTCCTTCCCGCCCAGACGGTGTGTCTCTCTAAAGCCATATCCTCTTATGAAATGTACTGAATCCATGGCACTGCTGGACCTTCTGTTCTTTCCTTTGGTTTTTGGGGTTTTGTTTAGCGCTCCTTCTGTCGCTGGTTTTCTTTTCTTGAACTTGTCTGCCTTTGCTGATGGTTCTTCATGAACTTGGCCGCTTCTGGTGGTGTCTGGTGTCAGTCAGGTTGGGGCCTTGGTCAGTGTTCCACGGGGCAGCTCGAGGGAGGCGTGCGGGCTCAGGGCCGCCCCCAGGACTGGAAGGAGAGGCGAGCGCCTTTGCAGCGCCATTCACAGCGGAAGAACCCAGCCCGCCCTCTTGGGACTA